ATATCACATGATGTTATCTATATTTTGGAAACTTAACTTATCGTTCGCATCATCATCATCATCATCATCATCATCATCAAAAGCTAGTAAACAGACTTTCTCTCCATATAAGGGTTTGCTTTTCACGGTGACCTCTACATATATTGGGGTCTAACAAATAGACCTACGTGATCGAAGCTCGCTACTCCTAATTTGTTTTTTTTTTTTCTAAATTACAAGTATAAACCAATTTTCCTCATGAAATCTTTTTCTAAAGGACTTGCTATTCAGGAGAAGTCTTATAGGGAATGGGAAATAGATCCATGTGCCTCAAATTTGCTCCGCTTTATTTTTATGTCAAATTATTACACTATCACGAACAAATTTCTATCAGAAAACATTCACAATTGGGCCTTTTGGCCTTTTTACAGCGTTCACATTTCCTGAGAATCCTCATATGCAATGGTATCCAAAAAAATAGACCTAACTTGTCTAAATTCACTATTGCGAACGAATTGTCGTCACCATGAAATATTGAAAATTAGATCTTTTTGCCATATAAAAACGACATTATAACGACTCTTCAACCTAAGGCGGTATATGGGGGTATATGGGGAATGGTCAAAAAGTGGTCCGATCCAAATCGTTTTCAATATAATTAGTCCTTGGGTCAAAGCACGTTAGTGTACAAAATTTCATCAGAAAATTATAATGAAATGATCGGTATAACAAAAGATTGCTCTATCTCAAATCCTTCTAGGTGTTACATACGTCCGCACTAACTTAACATGCCCTACATCACTTGTGGTGTATGGTATAAAAACGAGAAAGTTATTAACGCATCATTGACAGCCACCCTCAACTTAAACTCATAACTTGGAATTGCAAATTACTCTGTTAGATATTCAAATGTCAGTTTGTGGAGGGATTTTAAGCTGTTTCTAGGAAATACATTCACCAGTTAGCAGAACGACGTTTCCTATAGAGTGAAAATTAACATTCTCCATGCATTATTGGCGCGACTACAAGTCGATTACGAATTTTGCTCTCTATGCTTGCTACTTACTTAGGTGGTCTTAGAAAATATTTACGATAAAGTTTTGTTCATTGCAGATATGGATGCGGATGGATTACGAGTATTTTTAACTTGGTTCGCAGCTATTAACCTAACATTTTCATTTTCTATCTCAATTTTTCCAAACGTAGAGATTGACATTAATAGTGTAATGAAAGACAAGCACACAGACGAAGGAGATTAAATCGACACGGATTCTGATCAAGCTCATATATGCTTTGTGCATTCTCTAATGCATATTTATAAATGTTATAAAAGCTTGTAAACCACTTTCCGCCCTTCGATAATAAACATTAAAAAAAAAAACTCAAATTGTTTTTTAATAAATTATTTCGTATTTAATATTTAGTATTTAACAACAAAGAATTTCACACCCAAAGTGAGAAATTGATCTCAATACAATAACGTTAGGTTCATTAAGATCAACGAACATTCGAACAGGTGCAATGAGTATTACTTGGAAATTTCGATAATGTCGTTACAGTGCAAACAAACATTTCATTTAGAAGAAATTGAAATTTTTTCTAACAAAACCTCATTATAGATAAGATTGAAATTTAATTTATTTCATAATTGAGATACTTATGCTTTATATGGATTTAATGTTAACGCTACCGGCTATTAAAAAGTTAGATTACTTAATATTAATATAAGATTTATAAATTATTGCGTTTTTAAACATTTAAACAATATACTTAATATAGTCAATTAGCGCTTAAAAATTGCACAAAGAAAATGTCAATTTAAAGTTTACTGAAAATAATTTTTTAACAACAACTTTTTAATCCCAAAAGATAGATACCTTTCACTTCCTTTTATTTTTGCTACGTAGAAAGCTCGAGCTTTTTTCTTTTGTTTGATCAAGAAACTTTTCAATAAATCTTATCATGTATTTAAGGAAGCAGCTATTTTTGCATACCATAATCAGTCTTGCGATAATTCCAATTGAAATTAGTTTAACGTATGAGTTTGTAAACTTTTGAAAACCTGTAAATCGCGACACACGCGCTTATCTACATATATTTTGTCTGTTTATTTATTTGAAGGTTATGATTTAGAGCCTATTGCGAATGCGGTTGAATAAATATTGAATAAAAATATTTATATTTGGCAGCGTCACATATTAAATTATTGAAGTAATAAGTAAGGCCATTGCATACTTTTTTACACCTATCACCGAAGGGTTAGGGGTATACTCTCATTGTCAAAACAAAGCAAAGTATATATGTTCGTCTGTCCGTTCTGCGAACCTAATGAAGCCTAATGAAGCTATCGACTTCAAATGTGGCAGAAACGTTGGAAGTCCTTGGGCGCACGCTTGTATTGAAAATGGACCTAATCGGTTGAAGGACATGCTTACAAAACTCACGTAATGTGAGGACACCGATGTTTATCAAATGGTTTAAAAAATTGACTATATAGTAGTAGAAAGTATATTCTGTGCGTAATGCTGTAGCATCTATGCAAAAATGCAAAAAATTTACCACGCTTACTCAATATTGTAGTGCACCAAAAATGAATTTTTTTTCATAACCACTGTAACGCGCTGAAACAGGCTCCAAAAACTGCATAAATTATATACATTCTTAGCCAGTTTCAAATTTGGAATGCACCTAAGCATGTCCGGCTACCCGTTTGTCCAACTGTGTAGTATGTGTCGTAAACACTCTTCCGTAATCGACAATTAAGATACCACCTACAAATTTGCATAAGAATTTGGAACTCATTTAAACTTTCCCAGAGACACATAGGCAAAAATTGGCAAAAAAATAGTCAAAATCAGCCGCGCTCACTTCATATTATAGAGCACGAAATTTTAGTTTCTTTACTTTGTTTTGCCTTTTTCAGGACAACGATGATGGGTATAAGAGATTCGGTCATGACCGAATATATATGTATTATATAACATAATTTTCGTACTTGTTATAGCAACATTTAATTTTAAACATATTACATAAAACAAAGATTTTCGCTGGTTGTACGAATTTGGCTTGGAGCTGCGGTATAAATATTTTTATTTCATGGCAAAAAAATAACAGTCCATGTCTTCGCATAACACTTCAAATTTTCTATAGGCTGAGCATACTTTGCATCAGTTCGATTCTAGCGACGTTCCTTGTTATTAATCGATGAAAAGTAATTTAGTTGTTGCTGATGGAAGGGCAGGTCTAATTTTTAGTAAAACGTTGCCTATACATCTTATTTTTATAATGTAACTTATCGCTGGATTTCCTAGGTATAGTCTGGTTATTCTAATAATACTTGGTCACTCAAAATATTAGGTATACTGGATACTAATTACTTATAAAGAAACAAACGTGAAAATTGCCCTTTATTTTTTCGAAATAAAATTTCCAATGAGGAAAGCTATACCTAGTGCAAAACGGGATGACTTTCAAGTTATATTGTCGAAGTGAGAGCTAGTTAACTAAAAATAATCAGTATGCTGGTTGGATACAATTCATTAATAGGTCTTAAAACAATTGTTACTTAGCTTATTTTAAATGGTTAAGTAAGTAAAGTATACTACATCCTTATCCTTTTAGGAACAAAATTGCCCATATTTGAGAAAGATTGGAAACAATTTTTCCAAAAGCAATTATTATCCAATGTATTTTAAAAAGTACTTTGCCTCGTATTGAAATAGTGTACATCACAGTTGCTCGTACCGTTATTTTTGTTTTGGAATGCAAAAACAAGGTTTTGTTGCTTTTTTTCTTTTCATTCTGAATAATATAAATTTTTTTGTTTCTATGTTACAATGTACATTCCAACTGTTATACATATATATAAGATAGGGGGCAATTTTTGCAACGTTCAATTTCAATAACAAAGTTTCAGATTTCAGTTCATTACATTTTGCATGAATAATGAAATAATTATTCCAAAAATTCCATAACCCTTTGCAAACTAAAATGTAGATATTGCTATTCTGACAAAATAAGGGTAAAAATGAAAAAATGTTGTAACAATTGGCAATACAAATAGACTTTCACATCTCTACGTCTTTTGAACTTATAATAAGGAAATGGATAATTCACTTCAACAACCTCTCCCGAGTGCCCATGTGAGGAGAAGAAAAAGACTGTATTGAAATTTTTGAAAGCTAGCCAAACCGATAACGAAATAGCACGCACTGATCTGACTTATCGTACAAATAATTGATCGATTAATAGTACAAGTATAAATGCGATCGACAAGAATGAAAAGTCTATTAACGTCATCAGATATGATCGAATCGAAAGGAGACAAATAGCTTAAAGTTGACTGGAAAACGTTTGCGAAGCCAGTGTCATTAGCTTTGCGTACAATCATGCGTTGAAGAGTAATATACTTACACGCTTACGTACACGCTTGCCATTTTTTTATATTTACATTACACCAAAAGATTCAGATGAAGTCATTTTGCTAAAATCTTTGCAACACGTTCCAAAATCCTTCAGAGACCCTAGAATTTATATATATTTCTCAATCGGAATTAAACTCTGAACAAGGTCTGTGCATCTGCATCTGTCCATGCGAATTGTTATTGTAAATTTCGTTACAGTCACAAGAACGAAAATATCATTTTCAAATTTGACGAGAACAGTGCAAATTCTTACCAGGTTACTTGGTTTGAAAATAGTTCAAATTCATTTAAAGGATAAGTCTTCGGTATAACATCAGTTGAGAACGTCTCTTCATTTTCCAAACGACGTTCATATTCAATAGATGATCTTAGAGTGGAAATCGATCAGGCGCATCTAATTTTATGGAATTTCAAGATTTAATTTTTTAGCTTTCTAAAATAAATGTCGAGAATGATTTTCATACTTTTTTACATTAATAATATTTAAGATAACTTTGTTTGGGCGTAAATAAGACAAAGAAAAATTTTAAAGCAAAGTAGTTAAACTATTTAAAAATATTTAACGATCAGTTCTCTAAATATCCTTTTCATTTCTAGTTATTCGTTAGAATGATATCGGTACTATCCCGCCTGAGCTCTTTTTATAGTTCCTATGTCTTGGGAGTACTAACAGTAGGATATATTCTAGGAGAATTGGGTCATTATCTTATTGGTGTAACATCGAAACAGACAGCCATAGACTTGGATTATGGCGACATAGCGTGTCAAATGAATACAACAATGTTCGAGAGAACAGAACTTCCAGAGCAATGTTCAGCAGTAACGAACGAGACGAGGTAAGTAAGGAAATTGAGCAAAAAAAACGAAAGAATTTAATGTATGCTTCCTCTTATTTATCTTTTAGTTGCTTAGCTTTAGATATCAATGGCACTAATTACTGTGAATGGAACTACAATGGCTTAGGTATTGAATATCAAATCTTAGCGGGCCCAACGTTCATATTAATTTTTACTATTGCTGGAGTATTTATGGGTGTGGCAGCTGACAAATATAATCGTGTTAAAATGTTGACCGTCTGCACTGTAATATTTGGAATAGCTATTATTCTACAAGGCACTGTCAAAGAGTATTGGCAGTTGGTCGTATTAAGAATGATTATGGCGGCAGGGTGAGTTATGAACAAATAAGTAAAATTTGTGTATAATGCCCTACTGTGGGCCATGCCACTTCGCTTCTAATATTGAAAGAAACGAATAAGATACTTGGTTCATTACTTCTTGTAAGTTTGAAAAACAACTTGTAATAATCAGATAAATGCATCGAACAATATTTTATTGATTTGAATCTATGTTATAATTTGTGCTAGAAATATTCGCGAAACTCATTAACAAACCTCAATAGGAAAATGCGTCTTAATGACCCACTAAACATTTAGATTTTAATATACGCGCCAGAGTTAATAAATATTCGAAATTCTGAAATACTGGGCGAATATAAATGACATACGTGTTTGTGCTGAATATTTAAAATTTGAAATTTTTCTTTTCTTTTTTTGGAAAACAGAGAATCTGGCTGCAATCCTTTAGCTACTGGCATTATGTCGGATATTTTTCCCGAATCTAAACGAGCTTTGGTGATGGCTATTTTCAATTGGGGCATATATGGTGGTTACGGTATAGCTTTTCCTGTGGGTCGTTACATTACCAAAGCCAATTTCTTTAATTTGGGCTGGCGCGTAACGTATTTAGGTACTGGCATCTTGGCTATTCTGATGGCTATATTAACGGGGACTACTCTTAAAGAGCCGGAACGTAAAGCTATTGCTGAAACCAATATGCAAGATAAGAGCGGAAAAAAGGGTAACTTATGGTCAGTACTAAAAAATCCTGCCATGATTATGCTAATGATCGCTGCTTCTATACGTCATTCGGGCGGTATGACTTTTGCTTATAACGCGGACTTGTATTATAACATTTATTTTCCTGATGTGGATTTGGGCTGGTGGTTATTTTGTGTAACTATTGGTATTGGCAGCGTTGGTGTTGTGGTGGGCGGTATTGTTTCTGATCGTATCGTAGCTAAGATGGGCGTTCGATCTAGAGCTATTGTTTTGGCGTTAAGTCAATTGGTAGCTACCCTACCGGCCTTTGGCTCTGTATACTTTAATCCTTTATGGGCTATGATTACTTTGGGTCTTTCATATTTCTTTGCGGAAATGTGGTTTGGCATTGTTTTTGCCATTGTTGTCGAAATTGTACCGTTAAAAGTGCGTTCTTCGACGATTGGTGTATTCCTGTTTGTTATGAATAATATTGGCGGCAATCTCCCCATCTTCGTTGATCCAGTGGCCAAAAAAATTGGTTATCGAGGAGCCATTATGATATTCTACGCCGGCATGTATGGCATAAGTAAGTTTCATTCGACATTAATTGATTTTTAAATACATAATAAAAGGGAAAAAGATTAAAAAGTTCTTCTTTCCTGTTTTTTAGGTTCGATTTTGTTTCTCATCACCTGCTTCATGTTGGAAGGTAAACCGAAAACCGAAGAAACTACCAATAAGTATGATAAAGATATTGAAGCTCATACCCGCCATATACAAGGTCATGATAATTCAGTATTTGCTGGTGATGAAGTTCCTCCTTATAATAATAATTTGCCGGTTATTTTAACAAACAATCATTTGCAAAAAATCAATGGAACCGATAAAGCGCAAATACGCGAGAGCAGCAGGCTATAGTAATTTTTGGCAGTGCTTGTTTCATAATTCATTTAAGTGTAACAACTAAACATACACACACACACACACACACACACACACA